AAAAGACAATAGTAAGATTCTCCATAGAAGATACAAAGGCATATTATAAAATGACAGTAATTACTATTATCAGGTGAGGGAAAGAACTCAAGCCTGGAAAGTTGGTATCTCCCAAATCCGTTGGGAGATAATGGGCCATTTAATGAATAATGTTTCCCCTATGGGGGAAAAAATAGATCCCTACCTCACACTACACATAAAGATCAATTTCAGGTAGATTAAAGATTAAATATGAAAAATAAATTCTTATGACTCACAAAAGAAAATATATGAGACTATTGAGTTTGGGTAGGATTTCTTAAAGAATTTCTTTTAATGAGTGGTGCCTGGGTGGCTCACTCATTTAAGCAGCTGCCTTCAGCTCAGGTCAGATTCCTGGGATGTAGCCCCAGAGCCCTATGTCCAACTCTCTTCTCAGTGGGTCTTCAGCTTCTCCCTCTCCTTCTGCCTCTCCCCTGCTCATGTGCACGTGTTCACTCTCTCTCAAATAAATAAATAAAATCTTTAAATAAAATTATTGTTTTAATGCACAAACTGAAAAGGAAAACATTTATAAATCAGACTCCACAAGAATTTAAGGCAGTTATACTATAAAAGTCACTATAAAATAAAAGGATAAGAACAGAAGATACTAGCAATAAATATAATAAAGATATTATATGTAGAATTTATAAATAGCCAGCAATCCACTCCTGGATATATGCTAGAGAAATTCTCAGATTTTGGTATATTTTAGGATAAAGTATATTTTAGTATAAAATATAGGAAAGTGTTCAGTAATATCTTTTCCATTCTTGGTTATTATAAATAAATATCCATTAATTTAGAGAATGGACAAGTGAATTGTGGTTTAAAACACTATATAGCAGTTAAAATAACTGATAGGTGTATCTATCAAATAGGTGATATAAAAAATTTAATGCTCAATGAACAAAGGCAAGTTTCAGGAATACCTACAGTAAAATGCTAAACACTTTTAAGTGTGCAAAATTCTGTTAAGTATACTTTGGATATCTTTATTTATGTCTACTTTTATAATGAAAATGAGGAACTCCAAATTCAGGCCAGTCATTACCTTTAGTGAGAGAAGAAATCAAATAAGATCAAGGAAGGATACATTGATACTTCAATTATAATATTTTATTTTCTAAAAAATCAAATAAAAAAACAAAAGGTCAGTACTAAATGTGATAAATGCTAAATATCACAAGTCTATGTGGTGGGTATTAGGATAGGAGTAATAATGGTCTCTATTCTCTTTATGTTTAAAATATCTTGTAATTTTTAAAAATTTCTTCTCAGGGGCACCTGGGTGACTCAGTGGGTTAAGCCTCTGCCTTCGGCTCAGGTCATGATCCCAGGGTCCTGGGATCGAGCCCCAGGGAGCCTGCTTCCCTTCCTCTCTCTGCCTGCCTCTCTGCCTACTTGTAATCTCTGTCTGTCAAATAAATCAACAAAATCTTAAAAAAATAAATAAAATAAATAAAAATTTCTTCTCAGTGTTCCAGAATTCATTGTTTATGCACCACACTAAATATCTTGTAATTTTTAATAAATTAAAAGGGAAGGGAGTTTAAATGACTGAATTCCTTTCCCTTGCCCAGAAAATCATGACGCCCTACTCCCGCCCCAAGCAGAGTCTGTAATACTATTGGTAAAACATCATGCTGCAATGGGCAGTATTTTGTATGACTTCCATAAGTAACCATTATGACATTGTGCTGTTTCCTTGGAAAAATGACTGCTGAGTTTCAAATGACATAGTTCTATGTCATGATAAATTGAGGATTGTGTGCTATTATAATTTTTTTCTGGTACACATGCCATCTTCCTTTATGGAGAAGGAGACAGTGACTGGTAAAGCAGCTGACACAGCTGAGTCAGAAGAGTGTCATCAAGGACTATCTAGGAATTATGACCCATTCAACATCTTGATGATGGTTTTGAGTTACTAGAGCTACTGAGGGACATTCTGAACCATCATCAGAAGATAGAATATTGCTTGGTATTGTTTTGTAGCAAGTATTATGAATTCCAAAGATTTAAAACAGAATTCAGTGAAGTTGTATATTTACTTGACCCTTTCTTCATCCATTCTGCCTGATGTTCATTGGAATAAGTCATTGAACCCCAAAGGACCCCAAGCAAACTCTGTACTGTTCCTCACAGGTCCACTTCCCTGGGCACAGCCTTGACTCTGGACACTGAAAAGTAAACACATTTTCACTGCTGAGGAAAAGTTCCCTTTGAGCTGGAACAATCAACAACATTTCCCTTCTTTTGGTTACATGCCCTCAGACTGCATTGTTTATCAAATAATTATTTTCCCCTTTTGTCATACACGTATCATTCAGCTTCAGTGATGGTGGTTTGGTCATAAATGACCTTTCTCGTAATTAGAAAGTGATCTGTGACAAGATAAAGTTGGAAATTGCACTTTGGGAAATGATCAGGTCTCTGTTTGCAAGATTAACTCAATGTCCACTGCCATAACCGAGGGGAAGAATTGCCAGAGCAGTTCAGTGACTGGATGGGACTTCCATAGGAATCATGGAGCTGTACAGCTGTGGAAACACAAATTCCATGCCCCCCGCCCCCCATTGCTGGTTTTCTGACAGCTTTCTCAGCAGAGCAGTTTGAAGAGTGGAGAGGCCTGTTTTCTGAGACAGAGAAGTGTTTTCACACCTGAAGTGTAATTTCACACCTTGTGTTTCTCAGCAGATAAGTGAATAAAATAACACATCAAACCGGAATAGAAAAAGATCAACATAGAAAGAAAACTGCAGGTTGTAATTTGTTTCCCATCTTACAATGCTCTTGTAGAGAACAGTAAATTACAGAGATCTGGATTTACACTTTTAAAAGTTTGACTGGTTGTTAGGTGGGAAAGTGAGCAGTAAACACTAATCAGCTTTCAGCCGGCATTGAACAAAATGTACAGAATGATAGAATTGGGGAACACCCTGACACTTGGATTTTCTTTTTTAAAGGATAGGACACACATAAGTTAGTGCTAAAAATTGTCATTAAGAGAGGATTAAGAAATTGATGAATTATGTGATTTTAATAAAAATACAATTTTCTTTGGGATAATTTTCTTTGTAATTGTCTATTTGAGAATTTTAGCAGAAATAGTAGACTATGTTAGTAAAATTTGGATCATTTTTTCCTTTCTATAAATTGCTAAACATATGAGGCTAGTCCCATTTTATAGCATTCCAGTGCAAGGGTGATAAAACCAAGGGGTTTAATCTTCATTTTAGAAGTTTGAAAACCCAAAACCTAAAGAAAAAAGAAGGTCAAGCCTGCTGGAGAGTCATGTACATTCGTTTACAAAATGTTTAATATGTACTGAATGTCTACCATGTGTTAGACACTAGGCCAGGAACCAGGGGTATAGCTGTAAACAAGGCAATTCCTCTTTCAAACTGACAGCCTTGTTGATGAGCAAGCAGGTGATGATAATGCTGGGTGCTAAGTCCTGGGATAACCTGAAGCTAGATTTTGATGGCGCCCACAGAAGGGTTTTCTGAACCAGAGCTGGTCAGGACAGGAGCAAGTGGTCAGCAAAAATTCCTGGATAAACCCAAATCCAGACCTAACTAATGAATAGAAATCATGGGAAGGTGGATATCACTTGTGGTATCAGAGCATGTACAGTCTGTGCAGAAGTGAAAGGGAAAGAGAAGTGTGGGTCAGAGGGAGGTTAATGTAGGGGAAATGCAGCTTATAAGGGCGACAGTGGTGCCCAGTGAAACCGGGAGGTAAAAGGATCAGAGTATGTCACCGATACCAAGAAATTTTGTTTTTGCCCTGAGATTAGTGGACAGCATTGAAGGTTTAGGCTTTGTCTCTTAGTGAGAGTGACATAAACAGATTTGCATTTTCAGAGTTCCCTCTGACTGTGGGGATTGGGCAGCCTGGTGATGGGAGAGGAGACCTGTCCTAACTCAGGTGAGAGAGGCTGGTGACTGGAGCTTGCCTGTGCACTGAGTTCAGCGCCTTCAGGGATGGAAAGACGTGAGCAGAGTTGGGAGCTATTTAGGACATAAAATCAACAGAACTTGGTGATTGATTGGCCAGACTAAGGGCGAGGAGCCAGTCTTGTCAGAAATGTTGTCCTCACTCCTGATGTAGGTAAACTGAGTGGAGGATGCTACTATTTGCAGAGATGGGGGATACTGGAGAAGCAAGTTTTAAGAGTTGGAGACATGATGAGTGAGACGAGTGCAGGATGTCCGTGGGAAAAATTATGGTGTTGAGCTGGATCTTGAGCTTGGAGGAGAAGTCCAGGCCAGAGATAAAGGTTTGGTACTTGTCATTTAGTGGATAAGATGGTCCAAAGAAGGGGCGCCTGGGTGGCTCAGTGGATTAAGCCACTGCCTTCGGCTCAGGTCATGATCTCAGGGTCCTGGGATTGAGCCCCACATCGGGCTCTCTGCTCAGCGGGGAGCCTGCTTCCTCCTCTCTTTCTGCCTGCCTCTCTGCCTACTTGTGATCTCTGTCTGTCAAATAAATAAATAAAATCTTAAAAAAAAAAAAAAAGATGGTCCAAAGAATATGTAGAGAGTAAGAAGAGGAAATACTCTTTAATCTAGGCATAAAACAGTATTTTGATTGTGAAAAGGAAAATACACATAGAACAAAAGGTTTTTATTGCTTTTTACATAAATAAAATGTGGCTGGAGAACCACGCTTGGCTAAACACACCATCGCACACATGTTTACGCGTGTATACTCCTCTGTGCGGGTAGACCTTCTAGTGAGCGTCAGCAAGGTGCCTGTAGTGGGCTGCATGAAACATTAACCATCAATGGTAATAATCCCTTTCCTTAATACTTCCTGGAAAATATGTTAGTCCTAAAGCAAATACCAGGCCCAAGGATGCTGCCCAGTATGTTAAAAAGGAAAAAATCTGAATCCCATGTAAATACTATGATGAAACTAGCAACACAGAAAGCTCTGATGTTTTCTCATTTCTGTTGTTTTTTTTTCCATAGATACATATGGAAAGCTCTTCCTCCTCAATTCTGTGGGTCAAGAGATGTCCCGCTGTAAGACGTCCATTCGACGTGGTCAGCCCAATCCTGTCTACAAGGAGACCTTTGTTTTCCAGGTGGCCCTCTTTCAGCTCTCTGATGTCACACTGATGATTTCCATTTATAACAGGCGTACTATGAAGCGTAAAGAGATGATCGGTTGGATTGCTCTGGGCCAAAACAGTAGCGGAGAAGAGGAACAAGACCATTGGGAGGAAATGAAGGAAACCAAAGGCCAGCAAATATGCAGATGGCACACCTTGCTCGAATCCTAGTTTTGGCAACAGGATTTGCATGTGACATCTGCCCTGGCGACCAGTGTTTTGACCACTGACACCAACTCAGCACAGGCTGGTAGGCGTTTTAAAGACAGGCTTACAATTAGAGTCTACTAAACACTGGGACATTCTGGGCAGGATCATTTGGGTCTCTCAAAGGTTTGATTTGGATTCAGATATTATAATTTAAAAAAAACCACATACATGGTCAAGTGTACTTTATGGAAAATTAACCGTCGTGGAGAACAGTGATAATGAGTTAATTTGTATTAATAGATTATTGAGTCTGGGTTCAACCTGTGGAATGAAGCTTCTCTTGCTGTCTCTGTTTGCTTGAAGAGTAACCTGAGATCACAAGGGAGTGGTTGAATCCTACTATTTGTAACCAGGTATGTGTATGAATCAGAATTTTGTTAATATGGTGCCAAACCCTCCCCACTATGGAAATGAATCTCATACCAAGGCTCATAAGAGAATGTAACTGTCATCCATAAGCCCCTTTTTGCATTTTTCTTTCTATGAACGAAACTCTTCATTTATTTACTTAAAAATAAATGTTATAAACTCATACTTATAAAACAAATTTGTATTCATTAAATACCTTTCTTTATCTCCCTTACATATTGTGGTTTCCTGTGAGGTTTGATTAGATGAATCATTCTGAAGGTAAAACAGAGTTGAAAAACACTGTTGAAAGACATCTTGTCTCCTTTTAATATGTAAGATTTCCAACTTGTAATTTTCAAGATTTTTATGCTATTTTTCTCACCTAATAAATTCTTACAGAATTAGAAGAAACCAAAAAAAACACAAAAAACAAAAAACAAAACCTACTTAAGTCATGGATTTGTTGATTTTCTAAATTGAGAGTTCTCCTTTAGATTGTACTTTTTCTATATTCACTGATATATACTCATAAATATATTTTGAATGTACACTTGCATGTAAACCATATTCTTTTTTATGCAGTTATTTTCCATCACTAGAGCATAGTAAATTATATACAGTATGTCCTTAATAAGTGTTGATTTAATTGACTCTTAGAAATGAACATGTTATGATACCTATAAATGAAGAAATATTTTCAACTTGTATGAAATGACACCAAGTTCTTTCTTTCTTTCTTTTTTTTTTTTTTTTTGAGCATTTGAAGTGCCTATAATTGTCATTTTCCATGACATTTGCAGCCGCCTGTATTAGTCACTACTTGCCTTCTGGGCATGTGCCATTCAGAACACTGATCTTGTACGGTGATAAGCATGAAATTGTATCTCCGACTGACTTTTACATATTTGTGCCATGCATGTTTATTTTTCTTTTGCTTACATGTGAGTCCTTAATAATAATTACCTGAAATTGTCAGTGAAAAAAAAAAAAGATGGGAAAGGAATGTGTGTCCATCTAACACTGTGCCTAATGTGCAGCTCTTCTGAGCAATTGCTCAGTCACTTATTTTTAGCTTTTATGTTTCATTGTTGACTTTTTGCTGTCTGTGGGAAGAGTGATAGCTAGTGATGGATGTATACAGTTAAAAACACAGAACTCCTCCTCAGCTCTGCATTTGACAGATTGTAGACGTAGGCTGTAACACTTGAAGAACATATTTATTCCTTACCGTGCAGTGTGTAATGGTTATCCTGACAAGAAGAGACTAGGGCACAGGATAATTCTTCTGTGATTTCAAGTACCCAATTTTGAAAGAAATGACTTCCTATGGAAGAATCAGAATTAGCAAAATAAATTAATATCTTAATTTCTTTTTAGGTCATGGGAGTTTCATCTATAACACTGCTCAGTTATTGGGAATAAGTAATAAAACCATGTTCCTTTGGGTTTTTACCCTACCTTTCTTTGGAAGACCTCAAAGTGCTTTTCCAACATTATATCCATTAACTGCTGAGTGGTCTTTGCAGTGTGGCTGTGTCATTGAGTAGAACTGAGTGCAATTGATTAAGTAGCGGCACAAAGAATTGGCTTTTCACATCCCTTACCCTCTTTATGTGCTTGTGTTTAAAGGGAAGTAGAGCAGCCTTGTTATGCTTTCCTTTATGCAGTAACATAAAAGCAGCATTCACTTTAAAATTTACATTTGAAAAAAAAACCTGCACATATTGTACTGACCATCCTGGATTTTTTTTCCCCTCGTATTTTCCTGCTCTATGTTTTGCTACATCCCTTGTCATATGGCTCCCAGTCATCACCTATGCTCCATTTTCTGCTGCTTTAACCCACCCATTTTTTAGGGTTTTCTGCTGGTACAGTGAAGCTGTCCTTGTGGGTTTGATCTGTTTTCCAGTAGTCTGCTTATGAGACTGTTACAGGAATGTGCAGATTTTAAGGAACGAGATGCCTGAAAAGCATTTTTAATTTTTGTATAAATTTACTATGTTGGTGCTATTCACCACGTAGGATGCATGTACATCTTGAATATACAGCAATCTGAAGCGGACTGTATAAATATAAAATGCTAATGATAAGATACATTAAAATATGAGGCTGAATTTTTTTCTTACATTGATTTGAAATTCTGGTTTAGTAAGATCTTTTGATTTTGTACATTTCAGCTCCCTTTATTTGCTTGGCAACGTCTAGACACAATGCACTCAGCATGTTTTTCTTTTCACTGGAGCTCTTACATCTACATTTGCCTTTTAAGAGAGTTATGAAAGATAATTAGTTGGTTCAGCGGTAAAAAAGCTCCTTTTGCCTATTTTATCTAGCTAATAATTAACATCTCACAGAGACATTTGAAATGGAAGAAGCACCAGTATTTGTTGCATGAGTAGTTCCTTCCGTGATTTTTCCTAAAGACAGTGCTTTTTAAATAATACTGTAGAGGGTAAATGAAGCACTAGGTTTATGGAAATCTGCTTGGTAGTGTGTCTTCTTTCAGAGCATTAATTTACACTGAATTGAGAAGTGCTGGTTTCGCCAATCACGGTGGTGGCCCTTGTGCTCCCTGCTCCCCTCTGACTATTGTTGAATTTGTAAATGGGCCATTCACCAGGCAGCCAGGCATCTGCTCTTGCTTCTCTCTCCTTCACTGGCTCCCTGTGTGATGCACAGTTGTTTGGGACCCTGTTTTTGCTGATGTAGCATAGCTGTGGAGGGAGGTCTTGCCTCCCTTAACAGTAGAAGAACTTGTACCACTGTCGGATGTGTTGCGCTTGGCATCCACCTGTACAAAGTTCAAGAAAGAATCCTAACTGTGACTGCAAGGGGGCAAACGGAATATGCTACTGTGCTCTCATTCCCTCTCAGCACTGGGCCCTCTGCTCCTTCTTCAATGATAGTGACGGACTGAGCTTGAACGCTGATGTCCTCTGTGGTACGAGATGCTGCAGGGAGAACCTCCCCTCTGCCTACGCAGCATAGGGACTTTCACAGTATTTTACAAATTGTTGGCATCTCTTGGTCAGTCTCGGTGCTCTATATTGTGGTTGTAGTAGATGGTCTTATTTGAGAACCAAAATGCCTTTCTTTTCAAGTAACGCATCATTTAAGTTGAAACTAACCATCAGGTTATGTGAAAGTGCTCCTCTGATGGCCACTGAGTTTATAAAATTGATGGTTCACAAGGCAGACATTGAGCTGTGGGGCTCCCAAAAGCTGGACTATCCTGTTGCAGCATAGAACTTAGTATGTTAAGATCAGAAAAGTGATAGAAGAGGATTATTTGTAGATGACATAAAACCAAATGGAGATACATGCTTTAACAATAAACAGGGCCAAAAATTAGCAAGACAGGAAACAACATGTGTTGGAGGGGAAGTGGAGAAAGGGGAACACTCTTACACTGTTGGTGGGAATGCAAGTTGGTGCAGCCTCTTTGGAGAACAGTGTAGAGATTCCTCAAGAAATTAAAAATAGAGCTTCCCTATGACCCTGCAATTGCACTCCTGGGTATTTACCCCAAAGATACAGATGTAGTGAAAAGAAGGGCCATCTGTACCCCAATGTTTATAGCAGCAATGGCCACGGTCGCCAAACTGTGGAAAGAACCAAGATGCCCTTCAAGAGACGAATGGATAAGGAAGATGTGGTCCATATACACTATGGAGTATTATGCCTCCATCAGAAAGGATGAATACCCAACTTTTGTAGCAACATGGATGGGACTGGAAGAGATTATGCTGAGTGAAATAAGTCAAGCAGAGAGTCAATTATCATATGGTTTCACTTATTTGTGGAGCATAACAAATAGCATGGAGGACAGGGGGAGTTGGAGAGGAGAAGGGAGTTCAGGGAAATTGGAATGGGAGGTGTACCATGAGAGACTATGGACTCTGAAAAACAATCTGAGGGTTTTGAAGGGGCGGGGGGTGGGAGGTTGGGGGAACCAGGTGGTGGGTATTGGAGAGGGCACGGATTGCTTGGAGCACTGGGTGTGGTGCAAAAACAATGAATACTGTTACGCTGAAAATAAATTAAAAAAATTTAAAAAAATCTATGAAATATATTACTGTCTTTCCAGAAGCAAAAAAAAAAAAAAAAAATTAAAAAAAAAAACAACAACAATAAACAGGGCCAGAAAACACAATGCAGTGTCTCCTCTTACATTAAGGGAACTGTGGCCAAAGTACATCCTATTCTATTTGATTCACAGCAAGAACAAATGATAGATAATCCTGAAATGACAAAAATATCAAAAATCATTCATTTGTTCCAAAAAGGAAAGCTAGGCAGAACTATTAAAAAACAAACAAACAAACAAACAAAAACAAATCATATAGCATGTGTATAGAAAAGTTAAAGAATAAATAAATATTGCTAGATCCTTTCAGCCTCCACTGGCATATATTCAGGAAGAGTGAAATAACAAACCAAAACACATTTCAGGTTAACTAGCTATTATTTTTTCACAACTTGTAGAATTCTGGAAAATCCTTATTGCTGAGGGAAGTGAGACCCATCTAGTTGGATGAAGTTAGCAAAGGCTACAGGCTTCCCCTGGGTTTGGATGGAACTTCACTAGCTGTGTGGCCTTTAAGAAAATTATTTACCCAGTCTGTGTCCCTGACTCTTCAACTGGAAAATGGAAGTTATACCTACCTCATCAAGTTTTTAAAGGACAATAACAGCATTGAGCCTGACATATAATAAGCATTCAATCCCCTCCCCACCATACTCAATCAAGAATAAAGCCTTTAAATTTGTTTCTCTGCCTAGTGGAAATAAGAGTAACAT